AAAATCTTAAGATTTTGTGTTTTTGCAGTGTAGTATCCTTTTTATATAAAACAAATTAAAAACCAGATTCCTTTTCTGCTTTATTTTGTTTTATTTTTTTCTTTTGGAATACTTTTTACTCAATAATTTTGGACCGTGTGACAAAAAGTTTGGAAAACCCTGATTTTTATGGCTTTTGCTGTCATCATACCAAAAAGAAAACCACCATGAAAAAGCTGTGAAAATAATGCAGCAGCTCTTAAAATCAGTCTTTGTGTTGAACATTCTTCATATTGTCTTCAGGATGAGAAGCTTCAAACTGCGACAATTCACATTTATGTCAAAATGGTAAGAAAATAAATGATTATATTGAGATTTGTTATCATATTTTGATGAAACTGTTCAGGGTTTTTCCTTATTCTTATTCTGTTATTTTCCAGTGTTGGATAAATGAACATCTGACCTGGAATTCCTCTGAGTTTTGTGGGATAAACATGCTGACCATTCCTGTTTCAATGATCTGGGTTCCAGATATAATCATACAGGAGGAGTAAGTTACCAAAACATAAATCAATAAAACATCTGTGGCTCAATGATCTGGTTTGATTTTATTTTCTTCTTTTAGTGCCTCTGATAATATAAATTCTCAAGACGATCCTCTGGTCAGCGTGTTTCCGGACGGGAAGGTCGATGTGGTCAAACGGCTTCAGCTGACCTACATCTGCAAGTTCAACCTCTTCAGATTCCCGTTTGACATCCAAACCTGCAACATCACGTTTTCATCCCTGAATTATGACGGTAAATTAAATAAATAAATAAAGATTTATGTCCTGATTTCATCCCCACATCAACATGGGTTTATAAACGTGGTGCAGATGCACAAAAAGCATCCACAAAGACATTTATGAAGAGAATATTCTGCTGAAAAAATTGATAAAGCTTAAGCCTTTTAGAGTTTTATTTCTAAAGATAGAAATTATTATTAAATTAAATTAAATTAAATTATTATTATTATGTAAAATTAATTTACTTTTTTTTTTAGCTTTATATCATGTTTATCCCTCATCAAAAACATAACTGGAGTTTTGCTTTGAATCTTTCAAACATGTTTGAGAAATATTTGAATCTCCCATAAAGAGAGAAATGTAGAGAGAAATTTAGAAAGAAAGGACAAAGGAAAGAAAAAAACAAATAGCGAAAGAACAAAAAATACATTTGGAAAGAAATTAATTCAGAGGGTGAGAGAAATATAGAAAACAATTTAGATGGAAATTTGGAAAGACAGACGATATATAAACCAATTAATTAATTAATTAATCTTTTTCTGTTTCTTTTATGATTTGACAGAGAGTCTGTTGAAGCTGGTAAAATCCACCGACGACTCCACCCTGACGAAGCTGCTGTGTCTCAACATGCTGACTGAGGGGGAATGGAAGCTGGTGAAGATAGAAAGCATCAGTTTCATGTCTGTCGGTCATAGAAGTGCACTTGTCTACCAGGTAAGATGATTATTTCTGATCAAATCCCAGCAGGAGTTGTGCTGTTTTTAAAATAAAACTCTGTTTTCTTCAGATCTCCCTGGAGAGGAAACCTTTTCTTTACGTCATCAACTTGATTTTGCCCTTGTTGTTTTTGCTGGTTCTGGATTTGGCCTCGTTCTTCATCAGTGAGAGCAGCGGCGAGAAGCTTGGCTTCAAGGTGACGATCCTGCTGTCCGTCTTCGTCCTTCTGCAGATTCTTAAAGACATTTTACCGTCCACTGAGGACTCTCTGCCGCTGATGGGTAGGAAGCCACAGATTGGTTGTAATTCCTGCATTCGTCACCAAACAGAAACCAACATTTATCCATATTTTTCTTCCAGCCATCTACTGTGTTTCAGTTTTCACCCTGGTGTGGATCAGCGTGTTGGAGATGATGCTGATGAGCCAGTTTAAGGATGTCGCCTGCTGTGTTGGTGAGGAACGCCAAAATGCTGAGGTCGTCAAAGTGAAAGAAGCTGGTAACAGAAACGGTACGATTCCTGTTTCTGCTACCTGAGTGGAGTTACCACCCAAAACCTTCTTCAAATCTAACACAACTGGTGTCAAACAATTGTGCAGCAAGTGTTTTGTTTGTGCTGCTATCATCTTAAAGATATTAACAAATGTTTCCAGAGGTCATGAAAGGTCAACCAGGCCCCCACCGTCTCACATCAAACCATGTTGTTAGATGTGAAGAAGGTGTTGGGCATCTTCACTCAGGTGCTTCTGCTCTTAAAACAGTCAAACATTTCCATTATTTCATTTCTAACCGGTCCGTTTCTGTGCATATTTTCTCACAGAATCTGCAGGAACAGATAAACCAGAGGAGAATAACTCTCCGCTGGATTTACCTGGTGATCCACGGCTGCCGAAATTCATCATGGATAGAACGAAACCCGGTCAAAAACCCCCAGAAACACAGAAAAACATGGAAAAGTCCAACAGGCTTAGATGGGTTAAAATCTTTGACTCTGTATTCTTCGTCCTGTATTTTACCACTGTTGTGCTTTCACAGGTTTTTTTATTTAGTCTTTGGAAATTTCACATTTAAAACCAATTTCTGAAACTTCTCCCAGTGCTTTCAGAAAGTGCGCTGTGTCAGTCAAACGTCCAGGAAGGTCAGTCAGCGCTGCACTGTAGGAGCTTCTGTGTTTCATTTCTCCAATGTAAAATTTGTGTTTGAGAGTAAATTTCTATCAGTTAAGACAATAAAGTATTTCCGCCTTTCGCATGTGTGTTGTTCTTGTAAATAAACCTGAATCACCTTGCAGGGTTCCAGTTTATGGTCAATAAATACACAATTAATGCAATGCAAGTCTTACTGTATTACACCATTCACATAATGTGCTGTACTGATGATAATGAAGCTTAGTAACACAATGAATAACAATTAAATTCATAAATCAAATCCCCAGACCTTTCATTGCTTTATAGACCATCAGAAATAATTTTAAAATCCTTCAACAAAAGATTTAGTTTTAATGACCTCTCTTGATAACATAAATATCCATCAAAAAAAAAGTCAAATTGAATCCTCATGCAACAATTTCTCTTTTTGGAATCAAATTTGAGAAATTTCTGAGACATTCACTAATTTATAAAAGTCACAAACACTCAGTGACTGATGGATCAAATTGGCAGGTAAATAAAATCGTCATCAGCATATGGAGCTACTCTGTAACCTCTGTAAGGTGAAACAAGTAGATTTTGAATAGATGAGGCCCAAGAATGGAGCCACAGACTCAGATTTATGATAGGAAATATACAAATTACTCTACTCCCATTTTACCAACTAAGAGTTGGATCTAATTCAGAGTAAAACAAACATTTTTGATGTATCACTGTTCAGAACATCGTTTCTCCACGTATTTTGCATCTCTGACTTTTAGTGTTTACTGAATTATTGCTAACATATAAATTTGGTGTAAATTGTTACACACAATTAAAGTGAAATAATAAATGCATAATTGAACATTTAATTAAATTAATATTTTTTATTACTTTGGTTTTATAGTTAGCATGTTAATTAGTTTTGCATCATGTGAACATATGTCTGCATTGGCGTTCAAGTAAATTACAAGGTTTGCATTCCATATGTGTAACATTTTATTGTGAGTCAAACAAAGATAAAAACTTGTAAAAGTATGAGGAAAAATGTCATCTGATGTTTAAATTCATGCATATTTTTAAGGAAAAAACAGACTTATCAATATCCACTGGCAGATATCATTGCATGCAGAAAAAACTGTCAAGAAAATTCAGATAAAAATTTAAAGATTAATCCATCCAATACAAATATGCATCACAAAGGCTACAAAAGTCAAAATATATCCAACAAAGAACAGATTATCAATGATTGTGGCCACCCTTTGGTAGCGTCTGTGCTTCTTCTGACTGCCAGCTTCCTGTCGAGCGGCCTTCACTTCCTCCAGTATCAGCCTCAGCAGCTCGACAGCCCCGAGTTTACCCAGAGGGAAGCAACTCTGCTCTGGTTTAACTTGTCCATTCTCTTCTTCAGCCTCTTTAAATCATTAAAATATAATTAATCAACATTCATGTAATAATTTAACTCTAAATAGTACAGGTTTGCATTCTTAGCCTACAACTAGGACTGTTTTTAACGTTTATTTAAGTCATTTTAAATAGAGATACAGATCTCTGATACAAACTCTTCACACCCGATAGTCTTTTAGACTCTGTTCAATTGGGGAACTAAATTTCCAGCTGCTGTGGTTAATTTTCACACTGCATCCAAACCCTTTGAGCAACCTGTTCCCCTCCTGGCCTGTGGGGGCGCTGCACCAAGAACCACTAAAGGAAACGACACAAAAACCTCTGAAGACACTGAGAGCAACTTCCTTCTTCACCAGATGGAAACAAAAATGGAGTGGAGTCAGACTTTAGAGGCTACGGTAAACTAGAGTGTTTGCTTTGGTTGAATTTACCCAGAATGCTTTGAGCTATAGTCAAACTCTGGTCCTAGTACAAACCCCAATCTCAGTTCGGTTGAAGTGAACTCTGGTTCGGTTTGAATGCATTTATGAACAGCAAGCGGACCAGAGACCGCTCCAAAAGCAGGAAGTGGACTACAGAGCAGAGCATTCTGGGTAACAAACATGGTAGCTTTGCGTTAGCGGGAGAAATGGCTCAAGGACTTTAACCAAAGACAATATAGAAATACTACAACCTCTAAAATCTGATCCCACTCCATTTCTGGTTTCCATCTGGTAAAGAAGGAAGTTGCACTCAGAGTCTTCAGAGGTTTTCGTGTCGTTTCCCTCAGTGGATCTTGGTGCAGCGCCCCCACAGGCCAGGAGGGGAACAGGTTGGTTTGACTCAGAACCACAGCAGCTGGAGGTGGAGCAGATGATGACGTTTGGTCCCAAATCAAACCGAGTCTACCAGACTATCAGTTGTGAAGACACCCCACCTGTCTCATAACTTCAACAATGGTCTTATTTGTGTGAATAAAATATTTGTAAACAAATTTATAAAATTATTTTTTAAGAAACATTCACTAAGAACATACCTTTGTGAACTTTGCTGTCCTTTTTCATGTAAATTTTCTTACTTTCTTTATCACAACATGGATCCAGGTTAAGTAGGAAGCTCACCAGCATGGATTCAAGCACACTGAGCCACACCAAGGTGAACACTGCGACGCAGAGGTTGGCTGGAAAAACAGGCATTTAATACAGCTGTGCAGGCAATAAGCCAGTTAATCACACGATAAATTAAAACGAGCTCAACAATTTCCATCTGCATGATCTACTGTCAAAATTAAGGAATTACAAGCTCTTATAGCTTACGTGTAAGTTAGTTCTGTCTAATTTCAAGTGTGCTAAGATATTTACACTAGAAACTCGAGCAAAAATACTTTGTAAAATTTTGTGTTTTTGCAGTGCGGCTTCTACTCACCAATCACTGGCAGGTCTACTTCTGTGGAGGGTAAAATGTCCTTCAGAATCAGCAGTAAGACGGAGATGGACAGGAGCACAGTCACTTTAAAGCCAAACTTTTCACCCGAATCCACAGAGATGGAAAAAGAAGCCAAATCCAGGAACAGCAAATACACCAGCGGGATGATGAAGTTTATGACATAAAGAAACGGTTTCCTGTCCAATGTCACCTGAAAGAAACGGCAGATTGGGGTCAGATGGACTTACAGAAAATGAACAAACTTTCCGTGGATGTGTTCTTACGGTGTAAGACAGTGTGCTGTGATATCTCCACCCGTTGGTTATGTTACCACTGACTAATTCGATGTCTTTCAGACCCCATTCTCCCTGAGTGATCATGAACTGCGTGGATGTGACCATCAGAACCGAGTCGTTTATGGCTGATCCGAGCACCAAGCTGCTCACTGTGCACAGGACAGAAGAACCTTTAATTCATCCTCCTGACTCCATCCTGGATGTTAATCTGACAGTCTGTGTTTTACCACTACTGTCCATGGATATGAATGTGATGTTGCAACGTTGCGAATCAAAGGGGAACTTGTAGAGGTTGAAGCGGCAGGTGAAGGTCAGCCTCTGACGGAGGAAAGTGAACATAGAACCGTCGGGATGCACGATGACCCAAGGATCTTCATGGATGCTGCTGTCATCAGACGCACTGAAGGCAACAGGAGAGGAAGCAACTTTAGACTCAGATAACATCTAATGTAGCATACAATGCTGTGAAAAGGCATTTCCCCTTTCACAGTTCTTCTATTTTTGCCTTTGTCACACTTACATGTTTTAGATTGTCAGTTAAATAATATTATCACAATAGGAAACACAAAAAGCAGTTTTTAAAAAGCCATTCAAACCAACCAGATGCATTGCACACAGTTTTAATGTTGCATAGTTTTATACCTGCAACTAAAATGCACATATAAACAACAGCTGGACTTTGGTGCAAAACCAGTAAGTGGGTGAGAGTTGAAGTTAGTGGGACAGGATGTAGAGAGGAAATGCTGCCCTGGTTGTCAGTTTTATGTTGAGGCTGCAGCTGTTGAATGTACCTAATAAAGTAACTTGTAATCTAACTTAGTTACTTTTAAAATCAGTCAGTTAAGTAACTGAGGGTTGAGCAACCTGTTCCCCTCCTTGCCTGTGGGGGCGCTGCACCAAGAATCACTGAAGGAAACGACACAAAAACTTCTGAAGAAGACACTGAGCACAACTTCATCTTCACAAATGTAAACAAAAATTTGAGGATTGGAGGTTGGAGGATTTCTCCTTTGGCCTTGGTAAAAGACAATGAGCCATTTTCCCTGCTAGCGCAAAGCTAGCACATTTGTTTTGGTTGTATTTACCCAGAACTAAATTCACATCAGATACGTGAAATCCACTTTAATCAAACTTCAGTTCATTTGCTTAGAAAGTCTAGTTTGTTTTGGTGAGGTGCGAATCTCCAATTAAACTCTGATGCACACCAAAGAAACAAAGTCTGGTGTGCCAACAAACCTTGATCTGGGTTCTGTTTAAGTGAACTCTGGTGTGGATTGAATCCATATGTGAATGTCAGGCGGACCAGAAACCGCTCCAGAAGCAGGAAGTAGGCTAACACATAGGGTATTCTGGGTCAATACAACCAAAATTTTATTTACATAGCACATTTTCAGTAACAAGGCAATACAAAAGCGCTAGTCTAGCGATAGCGGGAGGAAAAAAGACAAATCCTGCAACCCCTGAAATCTGACACAACTCCATTTTTATTTACATTGAAGAAGGAAGTTGTGCTCAATGTCTTCTTCAGAGGTTTTTGTGTTGCTTCCTTCAGTGGTTCTAGGTGCTGCACCCCCACAGGTGTGGAGGGGATCAGGTCGCTCAATTAGTTTGGATTGTTTGATCAAAAGTTGCCATTTTTGTTCCTAAAAAAGTGTCAATCAGGAAAATTAAAACTTTCCACAAATGACCTCTTTCTGTCAATGAAAATGGTCCTCAATATGCGTTATATACAAGCACACACACACACACACACACACACACACACACGCATACTCACTCTTGTTGAATGGCTATTTCCGGAATCCAGAGTTTTGCCTTGGGAACAGAAACCTCGTCTATCCCGCAGAAGTCGGATTGATTCCACCTTAGAAATTCATTTGTCCAATGCTTAAGAAAAAAACAAAAGCTGAGCTGTACAGAGTGTTTCTAGC